TTACTAAATGTTAAAGAAGTGACAGTACAAATGATTGCTTCTTTTAATCATTTCTTTCATTCGATTATGGAATATAAGTATTTTGATGGAAATTATTGAGGAAAAGCTATAATTGTATTCAAAATATACATTACGATAATATATGTTTCAAAAAAAAGACGAGAATAAAAGAATAATGTTAGAAAAAAACAAAAGAAATGAATAATAATAGAATGAAATTTAGGATACGACTTTGAAAATTGTCACAATCCTTATAATGAGGGTTTTTTTTTTTTGAACTTAGGATTTAACTTTTAAATTTACAAATTAGAATAAGATTTTTTTTTTCAGGTAGAGATGAGAAAGAAAGTATACGTGGAACATGGCTATGTATGAATGCTATTGGTCGTATTAGTAATTTATTAACGATCACTGTACCAATAAATCAAATGAAATCAAATTCTGCTACTAGAGGTCAAATATTAGTTTTTTACCTGTAAATTAATATTCATACCTATATTTTATTATAATTTATTACAATTTTCCAATCATCTATCATAAATGCAACAGCAATTGATAGGATAGTAAATTGTGATCTCTCTCTACCATTACATTTCTCATTTTTCGCATTTCCATCCTTTAGTGTTACCAATCAAAAAATGAAGAATTGCCAGTTGATAGCAGCAATACTGGAAATTTAATTTTTTTTTTTCATTTCCACTATCAATTAACAATTCTTGATTTTTTGATTGGTAACATTTAAAGGATGGAAATGCTTTGAATTGTTGGAAATGAAATCAGTGCATTCGAAAATGTAATATTCAGGTTTATTAAGATTAGATTAGAGTATGAGTGATAAAATTTTTCACCTTTAAAAGGAACAAATAATTTTCGATTTATGAGCAAAAAAAAAATTTCCTTTGAGAATTTTCAGCAGACAATTTTTTGCTTTGAATAATTTTAAGAATTCAATTTTAATTTTGTTTTTTTTCTTTATTTTTTTATTTCAATAATTTTAAGAATTATTTGAGAGATTTTTTTGTGTCATCTAACTGGAAAAGAATTTTGAACATAATGAATGTAACTTTCGATTTCACTAAGTGAGCATAGTCCGAGAAAACATCCGAATTTAAAACAAAAAAATTTTCGATTTATGAGAAAAATTAAAAGTTAGAATATGACATTGTCATTCCAGGAATATTGCCAATAGATTATGTGAAATCGGACAAAAAACCGGAAGAATTCTGCAAATTATTGATTAGTACCGTGAACAGATACAATGCATTCCAGATACTTTGTTTTCAAAGTTAAATTTTTAATTCAAGTTCTTTAATTAATACTAATTACATGTTTAGAACTCTGTTAACGTAACGGAAAGTGTTGAAATTAAAAAAAAAAACTCGTTCCACAATTTCAAAAAGCAAAAAAGTGAAAATTTTGATTAACTTTTTCACTTTTTAATTTGCACCCTTTTCTTGAAGAAAAGGGTGCAAATTATTCAAACCAATGAAAAGCTTTTCACAGAATTAAATTATTTGTTAGCACAAATATTCCAAATATTTTCCGAAATTTGCAAAAAATGCACTTGCTTTCTTTTAATTCATGAAAAAAGAATGCATATTTCAGAAATGAATACGATCAGTATGAAGTTGCAGGCCTAACATATCAATCAGATGATAAAATTGAAATTACCAGATACTCATCAGGTAATTAATTATCATTATTATGCTTTATTATTAAGTAATTATTGTTATTACATCAAATAATTAATTATATTTATCCGATAATTAAAGATATTATCAGCACTTTCGTGATCCTTTCGCTGAAATTAAATTCCTTTTACAGGTATTTATGGTTTTAGCAACAGTCCATCATGTGAACCGTTTAAAAAGGTGCAACGTGGTGTGGAAAAAATGAGGGGTATTATTGATGAAATAAATAGCAAAAATTATGCAGAAGCAGAAATCATTGAACGTCTTTTACAGTTAGCTACCGATAAATATCAGTCAGTTTCTCAATTTTATTCATACCATTGTGTTAAATTTCAAATTTTCGAAATTGAAAATTAAGTGCTATAATTTTCATATATTATAAAATTGATAATCGATTGAGATGATTGAAATTAATATTAACAATGAAAACAAAAAAAAAATTGATGCTAAATATACAACTAAAAATTAAATGAAAGATGGAATAATTTTTAAAAAAATGAAAATTTCTATTTAATTTTCTAAACTTTAAAAACAATATCATTTGCTCAAATTTATTTCTTATCATCATACTGTTTCTAGGAATTAGTTTGAGGAACATCGGAACTAATCAATGTATATTCTTTTTTTTTTAAATTTTATTTTAAAATCTATAAATTCATTATATCGATCGTTCTTGTAGATGTTTTCCCGATGATCAATTAAAGCGGCGATGTGGCCGATCTAGCGAGCTTTGTAAATATCGTACTGCCATTTTTGTAAGGTATCCTGATGGAATTCCATACGGTACTAGGTATGTTATTAGTTTATTCATCAAATTGTTGAAATTTGAATTTTTATTTCTAACTTATACTAGAAAGTTACATTCATAGAATTTCCAGGAGTCTTCTCAAAACGGAGCAAAAATGCGATCTTCACACAATCCCATTACTCCTCTAATTTTAGGTCACATACAATTATTATTGTGGACCGTAATAATCGGGTCACATATTATGAGAAATCAATGGAAGCAGGAGCAGGAAAAGCAAGCGAAGCAACTTGGACCGAGCATATATTCCATTTTGAACTGATTTAATTTGTGAAAAAATTCACTTTTTGAGAGCAGTATAAGAGCGTTAACGTATCGCTTCTTTCTTTCTTTGGTGTTTGGTCCTCAATTAGAAAGTTCTGCTGTCTTGAATTTGTTACATTATGGGGACTTGTTAAATAATTCAATTATAATGAAAAATTTTGGCAAACAAAGCAATATTAACTTTCGATTACAAAAAATTTAAAATTTTTCCATATTCGTAACTTTTTAATTATTTGAGTAATCATTTTTATGTCTTAGTAACGCTGAAAAAAATACTGAAGCGAGGTAGTTTTGACAGTAGAAAAAACAAATTTTGGTCGAATTACAAATCAGAAAAGCAGTGAGTGCAATTTCTGATACTAGTCCAGGATGCTTCGATTTGATAAAAGTGCGGAATTTAAAACAATGTTTGTGATGCTATCATCATTAAATATGTTGACAAAAAGTGTAAAAAATATTTGAAACTTTATTATGTTCCAATTCCCTTTCCCAACAATAAATAATATGAAGTAATAAATATATTCATCTTATAAAAACAAACAAACTAAATAGCGTATTTGCCATTCACTAAAAATTGAGATCTTAATAAAATTTCACAACAGAAAAAAACATAAATTTTTTTCTGTTTTCAAAGAAAGAAAAAAGTTTCAGGACGATTGTTTCGGTAAGTACTGTTATTTGCTCTAAAAAAAATAATCTCTTCTCTCTTCCAAAGCAGAAAATGACTCCAGCATAGACAACGGTTTTTGATAAATTTTCGAAGAATAACAACATAAGCTTCAACTTCCTGATGCGCTTTAAATTAAATAAAGTTGGTCCCAACTTATAATGGATAAAAACTCACAAAACAACTTCATACATCAGATGTGCAACATAGAATCGAATGAAAAATGCTAAAACTGAAAATAAAACTTGCAACATCAGAAGCATTTCTGTTAATTTTTTTTCATGAACTGGACCTGTAAATTTTAAAACCAGATTTAATAGCGTTAGATTGTTGATAACTATCCACCTGAAGTGAAAAACGAATTTAATTTTTGTAATAACATCGTAATAACTTTTTCACCCCTTTCTTTACCAAACAAGAGGGCATTGATAGAAAACCGTTTTAAAATGTCTGTCGTCATCTATAGCCACATCATATAAAAAAATATTTCATTTTGTTAAAATAATCTACATATCAAAAGATGAAATATGAAAACTCTTACTTCACATCATCCTTTTCGATAATTTCCTTGTATAATAAACTGAACGTATCCAGAAAATAAAGGACTATCTTAGTTAACGGTATGAGGTCTGAAATGAAAAAACTAGAACAGTGATTAAAATGTTATACCCAGCGACGGTAATGATTTAATAAAGCAGACACTTCCGTAAACGAATTCGTATATAGCGAGTACATGGAAAATATTTAAAAAGCGAAAGAATTTAGCTTTTTTACCTCAAAACAACAAAAAAGAACTGAACATACAGATGCTTTAAAGAAAAACGTGGAAAAAAAAAAAACAACTCAAGCTAACTGAAAACATGACCATTTTCTTTGAATTCAACAGTGCTCATATCAACGGTATCAGATTTGCTGTCATACTTCGGCAATCGATGACGCGGACAAGGAATAAGATGGAAAAGTTGAGGAATTGAATATATGAAATTGAAAATCTGAAAAACTCTGCGGTTTCTAAGATATCAAACATCAGAGTTAATGACATAATCAAAAAGTACTATTTTCCCGTTTTTGTTATTTGAAATACTGATTCTTAATTTTATCATATAATGCTGATATCAAATTTTCACATGTAATACCATCTAGTTCACTTATATGTGATAACGATGAATCTCTTATTTAAATGGAACACTCTCAAGTAATTCGTCAATCCAACAGAACAAAGAAAAAAATTTTCGTCAACGAAGAGTGATATAAATTTGATATGGTAAATACAGACTAGCACTGATTAAACATTCAAAAAACTTCAACAGAGAAAATATATCTTGCCAAGAACCACAAATTAAATTAACCAAGCAAAAGTCAAAATCCTCATGAAATGGGGAAAAATTTGCTGCTCAAAGCACAGAAACTTACCTGCGGAATTAAGAACAGCGCCATAGTTTTGCTAAAATGACCAAGAATACAAGCTGAAGCCAAAGTCATCCCAGCCCAATAACAAAACGTATCACCAACAAAAATTCGTGCTGGGTACCTGTAAAAAATATAAAAATTTTAAGAACGATAATTTAATCTGAAAAGAGAGATGATATATATCAAAAAAACATTTTGTTTGAAGAAAAAACAAGTCAAGATAATTACCAGTTGAAATATAATAAAACAGATGTCGTTCCCAAAAAGGGTAATAGGAAATATAGGGAAAGTGAATGATACCATGAAAGTGATTGATCTAATCGAAATAACTGCAAAAAAGCTAACATAATTCATCCCAATTAATTGTTAGAATAACAGTGACGAAAAAAAGAAATAAAATTTTATATTAATAACCAAAGACAATAAAGATGCAGTTAAATAATAAATCAAGTAAAATTTTCCATTTGAATCTCTTAAATTCAAAAAATATATTTTTGACCTTTCAATTTCAAACCATAACTTCATTTTCTCACTTATCGAGGATTTTAAAACAGAAACTTACTTCAACTGCATTAAAAATAACAACGGAAGCTGCTATTATAAAAGCTTGTCCAGCTTCAAGTCCATTAATTCCAGCCAAAATATTGATTGCATTTGTGCAAAATACTATCTAAAACAATATGAAAAACAAAATGATGCGGTAATTTCATCCATAAAAACAGAGTTCCTAGAAAAACTGAACAAACCAATTACCAAATTTTCAAGACTTACCATCATACCCATATAAATGTAATAAAAAATTCCAATGTCGATGCATTCCGAGACAGGAAATAAAACCCGAACCAAAGAAGGTAACACAATCGTAGCTGACGATCCTAAAAAGGTGCCACTACAATACTGCTCAATCAATATGAAAAAAAATGAGTACTTTCATGGCTACAGTTCCAAATAAATGACGAACAAACAATTCACCGGACACATAATATACAAGAAGCAACGGTAGCGATGAAAGTGTCGGAAATAAAAGTTTGTGTCGCCATCGTAAATCCAAAACATCATCTGCAAAACCCAACAGAACTGCCGAACAAATCGCTGTTAGAGCAGATAAGAACATTGAAAATTTTTGATGTGGAATGGAAGACCTGTAAATCTGAAGGTAACTGAAGAAAGTAATATATATTAGGGGTTTAATTATAAAAATTCCGTAATAATTCACGATACTTGGAATAAAACTTACTCAAGTTGCGACCATTCATAGACTGAAAATGGAATAAACAAAAACATAACAATCAAATAAACAGCTGCTGATATGACGCCAATCGGTTCAGGTATAGGAATATTGTCTATCTAAAACAGAAGATGTCACAAGTAAACAACATTTTAAAAGTTTGAAAAAGTAAGAAAAATTGAAAATGCTTAGGCAACTGTACTTTCCAATGAAAATATTTTTGGTTTAGCTTTCCACCCTTAATTTTAATTTACCAAATTTTCTGACTGACGGCAATTTGAGTTGGCTATTTTGTTACTAATTAGTCAATCATTCTTCTAAGAAAAAAAATTTCTAACAGGTAACTTACATATTTTGAATTTATGAAATTACAAAATATAATCCTTTTTAACAGTCTATCCTAGATTCAAATACAGCACAAATACTTCTCTCTAACACTTGGCAGTATTTAGAGTTATTTTCAAATATGTTAGAGGCAACATACTTTGCACTGATCTTTCCCATACATTTGACGTTTGACAAAGACTGGAATATATTCTAGAATTATGTGATATGAAATGTATGCACCCATACAACTCAGAAATACATTAACCCATAATGATAACATTATTATATCTGTAATAGTGATAACATCAGTGCAAATAGTTATAATGATGACGTTATCATAACTGAAATTGTAAATACCAATTCGGATATTCACTGTGAAACAGTATCGGATTGTTACCGAAGTGAAATTAATCCCAACCCGAATATAATTCTCTTTCTTCCATTTTCCATTATTTTTTTTCTTACTGAAATCCAGTTGAATAGATATTCTTTCATAACACTGGACAATATATAACAGATTTCGATATAATAATATTACTTTTAACTTATTACTATAAGATTACGATTAAATTTGACGCGTTCATATAACGACTACCTCTTCGTCACTTTTGTCAATCCAATGATTACATTTAACTGCTCTTAGCATATCATATTATCTCCTGCTGAACGAAACAATAAGCAACAGTTTATTTAATAAATTCGAAGAATGTTATTTGAGAAGTTAATTAGAAGAATGTTATTTGAGAATTTAGCTGGAAATTTCGATATGTTATGCTTCACGAATTCATAGAATAATTAAAAGCAGTCGAGAAACGAGAACTATCGTTGCTTTTTTCCAGCTAAATTCTCCTTCCATTTATGATAGCATTCATATTGCTAACAATTATAACATTCAAAAAAAAAAAGAAAAAAAAATATGTTAGCCAGTTCTGTTGCTTAATTTCTTCCGAATTAACCCCCTCCCCCCCCCCGCTTCCTCCCTCTCTCCCTTCCCTTTACATCACCAACACAAACAATAATTCATTACCAAGAAGTGAGCTTAATATCGTCATTGTGATACCGGCAAAGTCACATACTTTGCTATGAGAGACTCTGATATCTTGGTCGGTTTCCAAATATCCTTAATGGATTGGCTTTTTTTACAGCGGTTGTTTAATGGGTAGGTGTGATACGTTGGATCCGTTTGAAAATTCACGTGAACGACCGCACTGAAAGTTCCATTTTGTTCGGGATTTTATTGGAATTCAGTACATAATGTTTCCTCTTTCGAATGAGATGGGAAATGCTTTTGGTAGTTTCAGGCAGTTGTGGTGGTGGAGCACAATCTTTTGAATATATATAACCTTCAAAGACATATAAATTGTATTTATCACTGTAGCATAGCAATAAAAGTTGCTGCGAAAGCGGTGATGCTGAAAAGTTGAGTGATAAGGAGATAGTGTGATTGTTTCAGGCTTAATCATAATGTTTATTAGCTATACATGATTGGATACATAATTATAAGAGATACGTAATTGTAGAGTTTTTTAGGATACGTAATTGTAGGAGTTTCTTGATGAAAACAACCCAGTAGACTTCAAATTTATATAATGGAAAGTTGCTCTGATATCTATCGATGGCTGTCGTGTAATGTGTAAAACGAGAGATACGTGACGTAAAACAAAAGCTAGACATTCATGCTAATCAAGTGAAACGATTAGAAATGTTATGTATTTCATGAATTGCATCAGTGATCACTTACTGCATTCTGTTTGCAGGTTGATTTGCTGTTGTATCGACTGGATATGAGACATAGTTGTTACTGGAGAAAAAATAGCAGTAATGACAAATATCGTTACAACCGAAAGCGGTGAAAAATTCACCCTATTTTTTACTATACGTAGTCCATTTTCCAATTTTCATCCTTGTCGTTTTACAATATTTGAAGATGTTGGTAATGGGAAACCGGAAGAAAAGTGTTACTATTCTACCGAACAATATTACATGTTTGTATTTTTTCCTTTAAAAAAAAACAAAAAATTAGATTTTTTGCATGAACTGGCACGAACTCAACTTTTGATTTTCTTTATATAGTTGAATTTGTCGAGAATACAACTAAATAAGGTACATATCAAATCTAACTTTTGCGTTTGTATGTTTTATATGGAATAAAATACTTTGAACGTTGGTATGATAAAATTGGTGCTGTAGAGACGTCCCTTATCGACAGATTAAGTGGATGTGAAAGTAAATGTTATTGCGATCTATTTGCATATTCCCAGATAAACCTATTGATATGAAGTGGGAAAAAGAAATTTATACTTAATCAAAAGGTTACTTATATCAAAAAAGTGATGAAATAAGGATGAGTTGAATATAATTTTGCAGGTACCACAAAGCGCTTTCTGCTGGAGATACTGAGACAGCGGAACAGATTGCGAATGAACGTGATGCACGAAAAATTAAAATGATTTCACGTAACATCAAGAATTTTGAACGCGAAACGTTCGTTTTTCACTCAAAAAAAGATTTTGATTTTTATAGTCAATGTTTATTAATATCTATAACTAACAAAACTTAATTCATTAAAATATTTGTTCAATGTAGTTTAGTTCATCCTTGCAAAATATCCTTTCCTTGATTCAGCTATTTCTAAATACACTTCAGATTCCTCAAAAATGTATTTTATTTAACACGATGTAGATGGGGTGAACTTCAATTTTTTTGACAATATTATTTTCCTAATTACAGTTAAGTTCGTGAAATAGATCACTATTGTGAAGATTTGAATTGATTTAGGTAGTTTCTTGTTTAATGCTCTGTTATTTGTTCTTAATTTATTATTATAAATTAGATGGAATAAAGTAAGTAGCGATGTGATGAGAAGAGGAAATTTTGCCAAATATACGCAGAATCCATTGTTACGAAAGAAGCTGTTCTACACATACGGCAGTACGTTAGTGGAATGTTCACCTACAGATCTTGAATGGGGCATCGGTAACCTTTTTCTGAAAATATCATTTTATTTTTTAATGAGAATTTGAATCATGTTTTTGGAATAAATTTTATTGGCCTGTCAATGACTTTAAATTAAATCCGTTGTTATAATATTTGAGGTTTGGACATTAACGAACCGGACGCACTGAGTCCATCAAAATGGAGAGGGAAAAATAAACTTGGTCAAATTTTGACTGAAATCCGTGAAGAACTTTTATTAAAGCCAGAATATGCTCAGGAGGTTATATGATTATCTAATCGTTTAAATTTCACTTTATTTCTATGTTATCTGTTTGTAGTTGACATTATTGGTGTTAAGCGATTATGAGAGCAAATGCGATGAAGGAAGATGTTCTCTACTTAATACTAGTCAAACTTATGATTCTTGAAATATTTGGAAGGATATTTCTAGGTGAGCGATATTTTATCAATGTTGGAGAATTTCGACAGCTTCAGCCGGCAATTTTTTCTTCCTCCAAAACCTCCAGTTCAGCAGTGTGTATATCCTTCACCTGGTGAATATGATCAGGAAAAGAGGCGGAGCCTACCGTCTACTGCGGAAATTGGTCGAATAACTGATGGAAATCGTGATAAGCGTTTCAGTTTACCGTCATACCCATGTGCCGAACTATCCGAAAACATTCCTGACTCTGGTCCGGTAAGCTATATACTTTTTTTTTAAATTTCTATGTTTTATAGTTTTCAATTTTTAAGATTTGTTAATTTGCAGCGAAATGCTTCTAATATAAAGGTAGAAAATAGCAATTCCGCGACACATCGAGAAGGATATTCCCGGCCAGCTCGATCAGCCAAGAAACGTAGTTATCGTACGTCAAGCTATGACCGAGATTTTAGGCGGCACAGGTGGTTTAAGAGTTCATTTAAAAAGAGTTCCATGGAACTGGTTCATTTCATTAAATACTTGATATTTTTAATTCGTTACTTATTATAAATTACTTTTTTTTCAACCAGTTAATTCTATTCTCAACAAAATTATGTACTTGAGATATTTCGCGGGAAAGAATAAGGAGAAAGTTCCAGCGATGATTCAAAGAATCGCAAAAAGGACGGTTCTCGATCAGAAAGGAGAAGAGATGCTTCCAGCAGTAGTAGATCCCGTTATGGCACACAATCTCGCTCTGGCAGAGATCGTAGTAGTTCTGAAAGCGATCGTGAATCCAGCAGGTTGAGATTCCTGTATATTAAACTATGTGGCATACATTATGGTTAGAAAAAAGGCTACGATGAGAAATTGAACTTTTTGTCTAAAAAATACAACTGAATGAATGCATTACCTTCATTTTTGAGTTGTAATTTATAACCTGCATTGTAATGAAGGATTGTCGGATTTTTTCGGAATCTTATTAATTTTTATCTTTACACAAAGATTTCTTATGCCTAATGAATTGAATAATTCCTTAGACTTTTGAAAAAACAGCGAAGAATTGCGGTATCTGTTCACAGCAGTCGTTTGGCATCATGTCGACATGTAAGTTCTGTAAGAAAATCTCTTTTGTTCTTGTCATTCGTATGTAAAACTGTTGATTTATGTAATATTCATTCATATATAGTGTATAACGTAATTTGTATTCAACACAGTTATCTTTTCAAATGAAGTTCATGCCATCTATTGACAATGGTTGTGTTTGCAAAAGTAGTGTTAATTTGGAAATCTTGCACTCATTGTTGAGCACTCATTGTTGGTGTGCATACTTGGTTCAGATAATATAAAATTTAATTTAATTATATATTTAAGCATCATGACTGCGATATAAACTCATACAGTAGTGAAGAAAGTTCAAGTTCCTTGGGTGAAATTGATGCTGAAGTGGTAAGGAAAACGTTTGAAGATCCTTTCAAAAGTTTATTAGAAAGGCTTCGCAATAAAAAATGCGGCATGTGGGAACAATGTAAGTGCATTTTTAAAAATAACGTTCACTTGTCTTTCGTTTGTTGTCATCTTTATGAAAATTATCTTACAAGTACAGAAATTATTAATATTTCAGAAAAATCACATTGAGGCATTGCCTAAGCTGTGCGAATTTACGATGTTTAAAATTAAAATTTGAGTACAGAAATTTGTTGAAGTTTGATTTCACTTGTTTCAGTAGCGATTATTATATTTCGCTTTTTTTATTATTTTCTTTTACAGATGCTGCAGAAGGTAGCCGCGATATTAATGGAGCAATTCCAAGTGATGATTGATTGAAGTCATTTCATCCATTAATGTAGTTTTGGTATCAATAATCTTTTTGGTCTCTTTTCCATGTGGTTTTTAGCATTTTTTTTGGCATTAATTTATTTTAATAGCCGTAAGTCTGCCGAAAATTTACCAATAATTTCAGATTTATTGTACTAAAACTTTTGTCCGTAAAAATTTGTTCCTTTTAGTCATGAAAAATGTTCGCGACTTTTCAGTCTGGAGTTATCGGCCAATTACTTTTAAAATTCATATGATTATTTTTGCTTTGAATTATTTGTCAAATATCAGAGTAATTTCTCTACAACAGCGTTAATACTTTATTACGGTGCTTGTCTGGATTGTAATATAGATAGCGCTGTGCGAGAACCACTTGAAAGCTATAGTTCTAATCAGGCTAGTCTATTTAATTTACTTCTGCACTAGTCATATAATAACATCGAACTTTTTAAGTATACCTTTCCATGCTGCCATACTGCCTGGTTGTTTCTTGTATTTCACCGAGGTGAGGTGTTCAGGTCAGTTCTCTTAAAATTTAGCTTGTTAACAGAATAGTATTTTTTTTCCAAATTACTATTAAATTTTAAAAAGAAATTCTTGTATAATTGTTGTTGAATTTGAAAAAAAAAAAACTTTTTGCATATAATTTTTCAGTAGTGAAAATGTCTACCTACGTTGCTATGATTTTATATATTTCACGCTAAAGTTTGTCGAGCATCGTGCCTGTTGTAAATCATTTTAGTTATTTTTACAATCTGTTTTTGATGTTTACCGTGTTTACCGTTTTGTCTTTTTTGTTCTGTAAGTTATGTATTTCAGCCTCTTCAAGCCGGTGATTTACAAATTTTTTCTTACAATCCAGAGGGTTTATATAGCCATTTTCTGCTATAGATCTCACTGCTTCAATTTATATGAGTTCTTAATGTATTGGTCTCCTCTTAGTTGTCGTCATTTCAGCATAATAACTAGATAAGGATTAGTTGATGACTGTGGTAATAATAATTGATAATTGATAATGATGATCTCATTATGTCCTTTCTCCTCAGGCCATTGTTTTTATTTTTGAAATTATTTCGCGAAAAATTATTCATACTTTGCCATTTTTTATTTTTAAACAGTGTATCTTTACATTTTATAGTTGCAGCTCATGTACATGAAATAAACTGAATAAAAATATAAAGACATCTCCATTATTAAACTTCTAGTTCATTTATTCGAAATGTTAGATTCATGAATTGATTTGTCCTCTGGATTATCCGGAAAACGGCTTCTCCGGCCGTGACTGAATTGTTTTTAAATTTCATTTAAAGCTCACAAAAATGCTGGTAATGGTTTCAGGGAATGGTTTTAGATTCAGTATTGGCTTCACATGTGGATACACTGTTCCGAGAATACTTACTATGAATTGAAGTAAATGAAGGAAAATAATATAAGTGTGCGCAAAAAAGATACTAAAATAAGCGATAAAACTGAGATTAGATTGTCTTTCACTATTAGATCGTTAAATTATACATGCCTATTTCAAAACTCTCACAAACCTATCGATATATGCAAATGTATTAGCATAATGTCGGATAAGATATTCGAGCTTTTTGAACTTTCTGATATTTCTATCACCACATTCCACAAAAAATCTTCGTTTTCCGTTTGTGAAACATTCCTGTATGAGTAAATGCCTGCAAGATTTGTCATGTTATCATTCTCAAACATTTATAAATATTACAATCATTTCATGTGTAACGAAATCTTTTAATTTGGAAAACATTTTTTTTTAATATAAATTTACAGGATTTATTCATTAAATTTCAATATAGTACTACTTGAGAAACTACGAATTACATACTTACTTTCATTGATTAATTACAGGAAGATATGAAGTTAGATCATTTTACCTGTATTCCAAATCATTGTTTACAAAAACGATACATAGTGGAGCGTATTGTTTTAAACTGTCTAAATTGCTAACATTTTCCGGTAGCTAAAATTTACTGTTTTTCATATTTCGGTTGAGGAGAAATTGATGTAATAACAGGATTTTAGATTAATTTGCATAGATAATTTAATGATCAAACAATTTGCATGGTATTAATCTTCAAAATTTTTTTTCAAAATAATTTAACTATCGAATAGCTAAATCACTAATTTAAATTATAGAATTACGATATTACTTCGTGATAGAGACGAAAATTTTGCGGAATTTCGGTCAGTGAAGTAGAAGCTGATCGTGATCTTTGTCCAAGATAGAATCTGAAAAAAAAAAAATTAAAATTAATGATTTAGCTATTCGATAGTAAAAAAATTATTGTGAACGAGACATCTAATGCTATCGGTCTAACCTGTCAAGAATTTCCAGTTTTGAATTATCCGGAAAAATCTCCGGAATATTTGCATTATTTTTGCGTAACGATTTCTTTCCAAGTAATGATTGACGACTTGATGTTTTCTATGATATTTTATACGATATGATTCATGCAAATTTTTGAATGACAATATTTTATGATTAAATGTTAATAGCTTGATAACATTTTGAATTATTTGTTAATATTTCAAATAATTTAAATGGAAAAAAAAATAAAAGTAAAAATCAAATTTACAATTGACTTTTCCATTGAATTATTGTATCCAATAGAAATGTCATCATATTGATAATTTTTATATCGGTTATACCAATCACTGGAAAGAAAAATCATGATCAAAAAATCATCTTTAAATAAATCAACAAAATGGAAATTGAACCGAATTAATATTTCATTTTTTTTTCATCTGATATATTAAAATTTCATGTTTAAAATCAAACATAAATTTGCTGAATTTAATTTCATTTGATTTAATATGTATAAAGCATTCATTGCATACCTGTTAATTGCATGCTTTTTATAATTTTCTTTTTCTTTTGAAGTGGCTGAATTTGCTGATGTTGTTTTCATCTTTAACATCAAAATTTAAAATGAATAAAGCGAAAATCTCTTAATGATTTGAATAATTATAATTTTTTTATGATCATAAATGAAAAATTTCAATTTTTAAAATTAAAGCTTTAACAATTTCGTTAAAAGTGTTTTTTCTTTTTGAAATGTAATTAAATACACAGTTTGTAGGTTGGTCAACTTGATTGAATAGTTCAGATATTGGCCATAATGAGGAAATTTCCTTTTCATCAAATTTCTAAAAATTTTATTGATAAAATTAAATGATTTGATACTTCACTCTCTATCAAATATTCACTAAGGACTTTTATAATGATAACGGTGATATCAGGAAATTAAAAAATTAATCATTTCAACAGATAACAAGTCAATCAATAATTGTATACGATCAATTACTCGATAATTTCATGATAATAGCGCAATTTAAAAAAAAAAAATTACTCTCTTCTAATTTATTGAATTTACTCGTTTTTAGAGTAATTGTCTCAGGATTATCGCCTAAGTTTAAGCATTTAATTTAGAATTATTCATTACAAACAAATTTCCATGAATTCATACTCGATTATAGTATTCATTACATTTAATGCCATGTTTACAACAAATGATTGATTCATTTGGAGAGAGAGCTATAAAAGAGTATTGATCACACTGATAAGTTTAACAAAACATTTTTCTTTAATTTTTCCAAATTCAAAATTAAACAAAAATTGGGAATTGTGATGTGCAAAAATAAATGATGTACAGGAAAAATTGAATAATATTTATATAATTCACCGGGTTCAGAAGATGGTTGATATTCATCTGAATTAATTGCACTATCATAAAGCGGCCTTTGACCTATTTCGCTTGATGATACGGTCGCTTTACGTTGTTTACGCCATTCAATCATTAAATCTTCTTTTGTCATTTTTCTTCAAAAAAAAAGGAAATGAAAAAAAAAGTGGAAAAATCAAGAAAGAAAAAAAACTGAAAAAAAGCGAACAAATTTAATAGGTCCGAAATTTAATTTAAAACACAACAATGAAATTGAAATATTGAAAAAAAATTTAAAGGTAATCGTTTACATTCATCGATTCGTTCACTTTTTTGGATAACTTTTGCTTAAAGCAACTACTTTTGAAAATAACAAATGAATCAATGATGTTATTTCGTTCACCAATAATTATTTTATAATTTTCACACATAAATTTGCGAAATTAGTCAATAAAAGTTACAGTAATCAAGTTAGGTGCAAATTCAATTTTTATATAAATTCAATTTTTATCAAGTAATATCAATTATCAAATAATTTATCAAACAATATATACGATAAAATTTTGTGCAGCTTTCACCACTACAGAAATTAACGGAAGAGCAAATATTACCTTTCCGGCGCAATAATGCGGAAGATAAAAAGGAAATGTTAATTGTTAACATTCCTCATAATGATATTTTAGAGCAATTTATTCCGCTTATCATTTATCTTTTTTTTCTAAAATTTTTAATTTTTTGAAGTTTGATTAAATTAATTGAACAAGTTGTATTATTTTTTTAATGACAAATTGAAAAAGGAGAATTATTACAAATTTGACGCTGTTATCTTTTATTATAATTTCACTAAGATATCAATTGTAGTCAATATCGAGTTACAATGATATCATATAAAATATGATATCTTAGTAATTTGAAAGATATTATACAAAATAAATTTTGACAACTAACCATATTCAAATTTATTTTACTCAAAATTAAATCAAAATTGATAGAATAATTGCATAATTGCACAATTATTGTAGGCATAAAAATGATGTGATATGACAAAAAATCATTTCCTTTTTACAATTGAAATTATCATATTTAAATTGCTTTATTGTCTTTCCCATCTCATTTCATTTTTATTTATTTTTGTCTTTTGTGAATGAATGTATTTTGATGTTTTTTACGTGCTGTATAAAAGATATCAAAAAACTGATTTATAAGAAATGAATTAGTCCTGATTGGATAAAATCGGATCAGATCAGGGATTCTTTCATTTAACTTAAATCATTTCACTCTTTCTTCATTCCGATCAAAGGACTAATAGCAATGTTATTCATCCTCATCTTCACGTGCTTTACAGCAAATATCAAAAAACTGATATACATTGATAAAGAAAAAAAAGATTTCTTCCTTCTTTATCACTACATATCAGTTTATTAAAAATAAAGCAAAATGATTTCAGTTGAAAAATAGAACGATTTTTTGTCATATTACACTTTTATGTCAACAATAATTATGCAATTATGCATTCATCTTACCAATTTTGAGTTAATTTTGGACAAAATAAATTTGAATATAGTCAGCTGTTAAATTTTATCTTGTAATTATATCGTTATCTTTAATATAATATTTTATATGATATCACTGTAACTCGATATTGACTATAGTTGATATCATAGTGAAATTATAATGAACGACAACAACGCTGAATTTATAATAACGCTCTCTCTCTCTCTCTCTCTCTCTCTCTGTTTGTCATTATCAGTTCAATTATCGGTAGGAAGCAAGATTTCAATGATATAATTATTTCAATGATTCAATGATAATTATCATTTCATTATTAAAAGAAAAAAAGTGAAATGAAACAAATTTGATATTGACTGAAATTGTTACCTTCGTGAGTAAATAATCCGGCATATCTTCTTTTTTTTTTTGTGCCAATTGTGCTATTATGTCATATTATTTTTACAAGTTGAGAAAACAGAAATTATTAGAAGGAAGTTTGAAATTTGATAAATTGAAAACAAAGAACCAAAAAACTTGTGATAATTTATTTTTAGAAATGATAACAATGAAAAGGAATAAAACACTTTCATTAAAAAACAATAATACATAATATCAGCATAATTCTTTTTTTCTTTTGTTTTTACAAAAAACGCCAATCATTTTACTCGTATTAAATAATTTGGTTATTATAAAAAAAAGTTTTAAAAAAACTTTCAAAAGTACATAACATTTTAGCGATTGATTTTAGCTCTGAAATGGATACTTTTGTAAATAATCATTTCCAATAATCTGTTACAATCCATTTTCTAAAGTTTCAAAAAGATTTTCTTAACAAATTTTAATTGTAGTGGGGTGAAAAAAAGAATCGGTTTTAGTATAAACTTTTGAAATTACGAATAAACTCGAGTAACTCGGTTTATAGGAAATTAATATTCATGATTTAGATTTGATTTGCAGTCAAACTGATGCAATTCATTTTGCGGAGTAAATAAATAATTTAAACTTGTAATTTAATGTAAAACCAATATTACTTTGGTCAATACCCAATCAACGAAAGTTATATAAATTTAAATATGCATGAATTAATTACAGAGCATAAATTATTTCGATGATTATATTTATTATTTTCGCATTTAAATATTTTCAAATTTTCAAAAAAAAAATGCACGACTGCTTGTAACTTAATCAATTTAATATTTAATGTTAAAAAGTTTCACTAAAATGCATAGCATTATATTATTAGGTGAAATTTATTAAAAGTTGGAAAAAGGTGCAGTTTTTTGATTAATTCTTAAATTTGAGAAGCATTTCACAGTTTAATTTATCTGACTAAAATTATGAAAGATCAATTAAATTCTTTTTAATGAGTTGCGAAAAAAGTAAAACAACAAATAGGCTTATACAGATTTAATAATGTATGATAAACAAAAAGAAAAAAGAAAATTTCATATACTTTGTACAAATATGTGTTTTTTAAAGTTACACTTTCATTAAATGAATATATCTTCATTGCAATAAATTACATGAAAGAAGTGAAAAACGAAAATTCAATTCTGAATTTAAACATAAAATTTGATTGAGTTTATTTTCATTTTATAACACTTTCATTAAATGAATATTTATTTTCAATAGATTTTTTATTTTCATTCCATTTTCATTGCACTAACTTATATGAAAGAGGATGAAAAACAAAAATTCAATTATGAAATTTAAATATAAATTTAATTAAGATAAAATCATGAATTACTTTCTCGTTTCAATGAATAGACCGATATTGGTGAATTAAATGGATTGGAAGGTAATGAGGTTTTTTTTTGCTCATCAAATTTTGCAGCAATTTTCTCGTGCTTAAACGAATCCTTTCTTGATGGTATTGAAAAATTCCTCTTTACCGGTCCATTTTTTTGTTCAGCAGCAAGAAAAATTGGTGGAACCAAAGAAGAACTTCGAGTATTCATCATCAATCCTATCGGTTTTTTATCACAATACTGATAACTTTTACGTATCGGTACAGCGGAATCCGTTTCTGCTTCTGATATAGCAGAATTATTCGTTGTTTGATTCACATGGGAATTCAATTTTGAAATTGTTGTAGAAAATGTTGATATTGGAGTAGTGATTGTGGTTTGATTGATTGCAGAAGGAGTGGAATTTTCTCTTGCGACAAGTGACGATTTTTTTGCTGTAGCAGTCTGGAAATTATTTTTCGTAAATTCAAAATTTTCACAAGATCCTATTTACTATTAAAGTGTCAATTATTTTAAAAGAAACTTACAATATGCACTAACAAAAATTTTTAATTATCAACTAATTAGACTTCAAATATTTAAATTTCAATAACTAAAAGAGAGAAAAAAATTAGTAATTGCACAAACATTTTTAAGCACTTCTTCCGTATTTAACTCAATTTCCGGAATTGCTTGTTCCAATGAGATCTTCTTTGGTACGGTTTTCATTGATTTCACTTTTTCAGGTATTGCTTCCGTAGCAGTATCGGTTGTTTTTGTTTTTGTAGATGCTCGTTTAAGAGTGGTTTTTTTTGATGTTGCTGTTTTCATCGAATCAACAATGGGTAATGATGATTGAATAGGTGTGGTTGCATTTGCGAGTGCCTTATTGATAGTGCTAATTCTATTCATAACATCTGATACCTTAATTTGTTTATCAGCAATCAATTCTTTTTCAAGGACAGCTGAAGTAATTTTTTTGCTATCATTTTCAACCGTATGAGATGATGATGATGATGATGATGTATTCGCTGCATTTCCGATAATAGTTGATGGTATCTTTGCTAAAATATTCGTAACACCATCGGTTGATACCGGTTTACAGTGTTGTGGTTCTTTTCTAACGGATATTAGTTGTGATGCATTTCCTAAAATGGCAGGTTTCATCGGTTGAGCATTTCTGGATTGCATTGTTGGCTTAGTAGCAGTAACCGGTTTGCTAATTTCTTCCTCATTTCTCTTCTGCTTTGCTTCTTCAACTTCTCGAGCGGCAGCTGCTGCTTGTCGTCTCAGTATTCTTCCTTTAATAATAACATTTCAGCTTTATAAAAGTCAATATTGATATAATAATTATAGTTCTCTTTTTTTTTTTCAGAATTATTCGATTTTCATAAATGATTCTCATTCATCTAAACGGTTATCGATTAGTTTTCTTTATTGATTAGTCATTTAATCTGTTATTGATTAGTTTGATTTCTTTTCAACTAACCGGTTATTGATTAGTAGTTTTCTAAATCTCGAATAAGAATATGATGCAATATCAAATCATCAAAAGGCATATTTTATGATTAACAAACCGAAATGTCATTTAAAAAATCAAAATATTTGCATTGAAAAAACATAAGTGATGGCATTCAATTGATGATAAGATGATAAAATATTTTCCTAAGTGGAGTGAATCATTGCGGCAGCAAACAGATGAAGAAAGGAGGAAATAAAAGGGAGAGAGGGAGATTAAAAGGTATGCCTGAAGGCATAAAATCGAACATTTTGCATTACAACCAGTTGGAACTTCAACTTTTTCCAAATATTTTTCATCTTACTAAAATATTTGTTGCTCAGAGATTAAAAAAAAAAATTACTAATTTCCTGATTTCGAATCATTGCGTTTTCGATTTTATGTCGACCTTCCGGTAATCGAAGATTTATCGATACTTTTGTTAGGCCTCTATTTTCAAATACGGCATCGATAATTTCTTTTTCGGCTGCGGTAGCAAAGGTAACACCCTAAATTACAGCATTTCTTAACGGAATTAAAAATACTTTTAAACATTTTTTAAATTCAAATATAATAGTAGTTTCATACTTTGACATTCAAATATTTAATAGAGGCACTTTAATGAAAGTAACAATAAATTACGGCATTTAAAATGTTTGCATGTAATAAAAACTTGAAATAATTAAATCATATGACTTCGGAAAACGCTTAATAAATGAGTAACATTGCTAAATGCGCCCAAACGACCGTATATTTCCACAAATTTCTCTGGTAAATATATAAATTGAGTTTTTTTTAATACTTTCAATTTAGGTTTTGAATGTATGAAATTGAAGAATTACTAGTTTTTAGTATATCATATGTAGAACTTAATTATTTTAAACATTATCCCATAGCTATTTAACCATTTTAACTATATTGTTATTTGTTAATATTTATTAACTAACATTTAGATCAATAATAGCTCTGTAATTTGATTTGAACTTTCTAACGAAATATGCCTATTTTATCTTAAAATTCTGAAATAATTTTTATCGCACAATTTTTGCATGAAAAAACTCGAAATTTAAATATAATTAGATGGCTAATCATATTTTCTGAATGTTTTTATTATGATAAAAAATGGGCACCTGATTAACAGCTTTTACTTCTTCAAGTGTTTGATTTATTAAAGCTGCTTTAAATAAGCGTGCAAAGAAATCACCACTGAGATAATTTGTTTCCAAATTAATCGATTTTAATGTTGTATTACTTGCTACCACATCAAATATAGGCTGCAATATATAGTTTCATATTAAATTCATTCAATAAAATAATATAAAATTGATCTCTAATCTTATTAACTCAATAAATTTATCTTTAATCTTATCAATAAACATTGATAATTTGTAAATTCAGCAAATAAAAATAATCACCTAATATCAGACTATTTCAAATTAATTAAAACTTACTATAAAATATGAAATATTCATTTGTAACTTATTAGAAACAATCAATAGCATTCCTCATGAGTTATCATTACTTTTAATTTCCAAAAATTTCTCAAAGCTTTTAATTTTTTCAAAATTTTCTTCAAAAATTTTGCCTAATTCAAATTTTATTCAA